TTACTATAAGAAATGTCAACAAAAAATATAGAATCTGTAAGGACCTATAATCTTATTCTTTCCTACCCAGAAGTTCTAAATTGTAATGAATGTTGCCAATGTAATTGTGTGAAAAAATTTAACAATTTACAAAAGTTCATAGAATGAAGTTGTAAATTGTATTTGACTTGATTTATAAACTTCTGAATGCTTGATGGACAATCTATCTGATGAATTTCTCTAAGCATCTCTGAGAATACATCTGTGGTATTTATTTTAAATGATTTTAATATCATACCCTACAGTTGTATCAACAGAAGAAAGAAGGGCACAAGTGTGCACTTATTTCTATGGAACATGTAGTAAATATGCAACATATTGTTATCTTCTGTTGGAAAAACTAAACACTTGATACTTATTTAGCTTTTATTCAACCACATTCAACACTCTGTCTTTCTAGTTTTCATCCCTCTAAATAGAAAAGGTATTTTCACAGATAATTTGCTTGTAAACATTTAAAATCTTGCCTCCTAAGAATGAGGCAAAAATTGAGAATATTGTGTATAGATATGCAAAAAGATTTCTAGAATCCACTAGAAGTTAGATATCATGATTAAATTAGATAATTTACAAAATAAAAATGGATCGTAATGGTGTCAGACATGCATATGCTTGTAAGGTTGCCCTCTGTCCCATATGGTTTTCTTCCATTCATTGTTATTAAGACCCATTTAGTTGGTCATCTCATAAATTGATTGATTTGGCCTTGGACTAAAATATTCACCATGAGCTATTCTTCTTGTAAATAAAGTTAGAGATAGCTTGAGCTAGTTAGTGTATCTTGTCTGTTAAGCACAAGAATTTGAAACCACATAGTCAGACCAAGACATGAAAGATACCCAGAATTTAAGCTGATGTCATTTAAATAGCTAAAAGAGTTGTGATGCCAGGAGATAGAAAGAAGATGGAAAAATGTAGGGTTCTCATCAAGTTCAGAGGTCTTTAAAGCTTAAGTTGAAGAAATTGAGTCAAAGAATGCTGCTGCATGGGCAAAGGTTGCTGACTTTCATAAGTAGAAAGAAGAATTTAATAATTTGAATCCAACCTAGATAAGAGGTTGTCTTATCAAATGGTTCCTTAAGTTTTGGGATCCACAACATAGTGGCAGCCAGAATCATGAAGCACACTGACATCTGAAGTTTTCTTCTTAAATTCCAGCCAGTATCTCTGGCCAATAAGCAAAGCAACAAGAAATGGAAGACAACCCCAAAATTACTTGGGACTATACCTCCAAACTTGTGAGATGACATTTCTTTTTTTGCCTTAGGTAGGTAAGATCTTTTAACTCCAAATATAAAAATTAAGTGTAGAAATGTTTAAAAAGATCAAATTTAAGGTCTAAAAAGATATATTTTTTGGCTAAGGACTCTGTGCTTATTTGATATTACTAATATTTGTAATGGTTAAGAGAATGTGGCCTATTACAGTGACATATTAGTCATATTTTCAAAAAAATATATATTTGAGTAATTACTTGAATTCATGATTTCAAGTTGAAGATGATAAGAAAATCTATTAAATTTTTAAAACAGTATTGCAAAAATTAAAAGAACATAAGAGTTACTGTATTTCTTAGAATTATATGACTTATTTAAATATAAAGAAAGTATTATTATGAATAAATCAATTAAAATACTGAAAAAGAAAATTGAATACATTAAAACTATAAATGCAGTTTATGAAATTTAATTTTTAAGTGGTAACAAACATTAAATAAATGTGATTGACAAACCTTGCTATATTTATGAAGAGAACAAAAGGATTCATAAATTGAATCTAAAAATTTAGGGAAGAAACAAGAATATTAATTTTGAAAATTAAAGTGACCTTTGAAAAATCTATTCTGCACACAGAAACCATCTTCAAAGTCATAAAATGCTAAACATAAAAATATCAACCTCGAATTTTTGGAGACAAATTTACAAATTGGTTATTGTCATGGATGCTATGATAGCAACGGCATTGGAGACAGTATGGCATGTCCTATAGACCCTTATTTTTCTGGATAATTATGTGGTCATTTCTCATATATTTAGATAGAATGTAAAGGCATTTTACATAGAGAAGTTTTGAGGTTTTTTATATACTTTAGCTAGGTCTATTTGATCTTTTTCTTAGTCCGATTGGGAAAAGAGTGCTGGCTTACAGAAGTGAGAAATGTCCATTAAAAAAAATTAAGTGATGTCAAAATTATTTCCCCTAAGGACAGCCAAAAGCTTTAAAACACTTCCTGGACATGACTGTGGTTCTGTTTTAAAATTGGTATATTTATCCTCATTAGATAGAAATGCTTGTGAAATAGCCAATAAAGGAAACAGAGCTGAATACACAAGAACCCATGTTAAACCAGCCAGGAGGGCAGCACTGAGCCTTGGTTAGGCTGGATGGGGCAGAGGAAGAGAAAGGGCTTCCACAGGAAAATGTTGGGGTACTGATTAGACTGATTAAATGATATTAAAATGGTTCTACTTTGTAAGAGTAGAAGGAGAGGGTTAAAGGACCTTGATTTAAAAAAAAAATTCCTCCAGCCTCAAACAACATAACTACAAAATATGAGACTACATTACATATATAAAAAAATTTAAAATAAGATCCTACGAATTTTTTAAATGTTTGAAAGAAGATAATGAAGACTTTCCTTAGATAAGATGAGAACTATCTATCTTTCACGTAGTTTTCCTTATCTATAAAGATATGATGTAAGGTACACTTTTTTTAGGGCTCTAAATTGAATCATTGCCAAAATTATAAATATCTTAAACACAAACACATTTTAAAAAGCCCTCTCTTGAGCCCTTTTCCTATTCCAACTACTATGCCATTCTTCTCCTTCTTTTTACAAAAAAATTCCTCGAGAAAGGAAATTTCCAGTTTTTCTTCTCCATTCTCTCTTGAGCCCACCTCAGGCAGGTTTTCCACCCCATTCCACTCCACCCAAACTGCTCTCTCTGAGGTCATCAAAGGTCATTTCCTGGTCATCACCTTACTTGGTCCATCAGCAGTTTCTGGCATTTCTGACCACTTGCTCCTCCTGGACACGCTTATATCCCTTCATTCCATGACCCCACACTTGCCTTGTTTCTCTCTGGCTGCTGCTTCTCCACCTCTTTGCTGATTCCTCCTTATCTCCCAAACTTCTATGTGCTGGGAGGTTCATTCCAACCACCTCCCTCCACTTCCTTTTTTTTTTTTCTTCTCTGTTTTATTTACATTCCCTGCCTCAGTAACCTCATCCGGTCTTGTGGATTGAAATATCACTTATATGTTGATGGTATTATTCTGAATTATATCTTTCGGCTGAATTCCAGACTAATTTATCCACCTACCTGCTTTAAACCTCTACATAACATGTCCAAAATTAAGCTCCAGACATTCGCAACCTTACCCTCACCCATCCAAATCAGCTGGTCCTGTAGTCTTCCTCCCATCAGTGAATGAAAATGCCC